CTATATATTTTCCTCGAGACACTGCTTTAAATGTGTCCCAGAGATTCTGGTATGTTGTATCTTCATTCTCATTGGTTTCGAGGAACATCTTTATTTCTGCCTTCATTTCATTGTTTATCCAGTCAACATCCAAGAGTCAGTTATTAGTTTCCATGAAGTTGTGTGGTTCTGAGTTATTTTCTGAATTCTCAATTCCAAGTTGATTGCACTGTGGTCTGAGAGACTGTTTGTTATGATTCCCGTTCTTTTGCATTTGCTGAGGAGTGATTTACTTCCAATTATGTGGTCAATTTTTGAGTAGGTGGGATGTGGTGCTGAGAAGAATGTATATTCTGTGGATTTGGGGTGGAGAGTTTTGTAAATGTCTATTAGGTTCTCTTGGTCCAGGTCTGAGTTCAAGTCCTGGATATCCTTGTTAATTTTCTGTCTCATTGATGTGTCTAATATTGACAGTGGAGTGTTAAAGTCTCCCACTATTATTGTGTGGGAGTCTAAGTCTCTTCGTAGGTCATTAAAAACTTGTTTTATTTATCTGGGTGCTCCTGTATTGGGTACATATCTATTTAGGATCGTTAACTCTTCTTGTTGCATTTATCCTTTTACCATTATGTAATGCTCTTCTTTGTCTCTTTTGATCTTTGTGGTTTAAAGTCTATTTTATCAGAGACTAGGATTGCAACTCCTGCTTTTTTTGCTCTTCATTTGCTTGGTAACTCTTCCTGCATCCCTTTATGTTGAGCCTTTGTGTTTCCTTGCATGTGAGATGGGTTTCCTAGATATAGCACACCATGGGTTTTGACTTTTTGTCCAGTTTGCCATTCTGTGTCTTTTGATTGGGACGTTTAGCCCATTTAAATTTAAGGTTAATATTGTTATGTGTGAATTTGATCCTGCCATTTTGATGGTAGCTAGTTGTTTTGCCCATTAGTTGACGCAGTTTCTTCATTGTGTCAGTGTTCTTTAACATTTGGTACGTTTTTGGAGTGGCTGGTATTGGTTGTTCCTTTCTATGTTTAGTGCTTCTTTCAGGAGCTCTTGTAAAGCAGGCCTGGTGGTGCTGAAATCTCTGAGCAATTGCTTGTTTGTAAAGGATTTTATTTCTCCTTGGCTTATGAAGCTCAGTTTGGGTGGATATGAAATTCTAGGTTGAAAGTTCTTTTCTTTAAGGATGTTAAATATCGGCCCCCACTTTCTTCTGGCTTGTAGGGTTTCTGCTGAGAGATCTGTTTTAAGTCTGATGGGCTTCCCTTTGTGGGTAACCCAACCTTTCTACCCTTAGTATTTTCTCCTTCATTTCAACCCTGGTGAATCTGATGATTATGTGCCCATGGGGTTGCTCTTTTTGAGGAACATCTTTGTGGTGTGGTATTCTCTGTATTTCCTGGATTTGAATGTTGGCCTGCCTTGCTAGGTTGGGGAAGTTCTCCTGGATAATATCCTGAAGAATGTTTTCCAGCGTGGATTCATTCTTTCCGTCACATTCAGGCACACCTATCAAATGTAGATTAGATCTTTTCAGATAATCCCATATTTCTTGGAGGCTTTGTTCATTTCTTTTTACTCTTTTTTTCTCTAATCTTGCCTTCTCATTTTATTTCATCGAGTTGATCTTCAATCTCTGATATCCTTTATTCTGCTTGGTTGATTTGGCTATTGAAACTTGTGTATGCTTTGCAAAGTTCTCGTGTTTTTTAGCTCCATCAATTCATTTATATTCCTGTCTGAGCTGTTTATTCTTGTTAGCATTTTGTCAGACTTTTTTCAGTGCTCTTAGTTTCTTTGCATTGGGTTAGAACATGATATTTTAGCTCAGACCCACCTTCTGAAGCCTGTTTCTGTTAATTGATCAGACTCATTCTCCATCCAGCCTTGTTCCCTTGCTGGTGAGGAGTTGTGATCCCTTGGAGGAGGAGAGGCATTCTGGTTTTGGATATTTTCATCCTTTTGCGCTGGTTTCTTCTCATCTTTGTGGATTTATCTACGTGGTCTTTGTGGTTGGTGACTTTCAGATGGGGTCTCTGAGTTGACATCCTTTTCGTTGCTGATGAAGTTATTTCTTTCTGTTTTTTAGTTTTTCTTTCTAACAGGCACCTCTGCTGTAGTACTGCTGGAGGTCCACTCCAGACCCTGCTTGCCTGGGGAGCACCTGCAGCGGCTACAGAACAGTAAGGATTGCTGCCAGTTTCTTCTTCTGTTATCTTTGTCCTAGAAAGATACCGCCAGATGTCAGCCTTAGTTATCCTTTATGAGGAGTCTGTTTGTTTATATGGGGGTTGGGGAGCTGCTTGAGGAGATAGTCTGTCCCTTATACGAGATCAAGTGCTGAGTTGTGAGCTCTTGTTGTTCTGTTCAGAGCTCCTAGGCAGGTACATTTATGTGTGCTTCAGTGGAACTCATAACTGCCTTTTTTTCCCAGGAGCTCTGCCCCGAGAAGGTGGGGCTTTATTTATAAGTTCCTGTCAGTCTGCTGCCTTTTTTCAGAGATGCCCTGCCCAGCAAGGAGGTAGCCTAGTCACAGTCTGGCAGCAGAGGCATTGCTGAGCTGCCATGGGCTCTGCCCAGCTGCTGTGTGAACTTCCCTGCAGTTTTGTTTATAGGGGTATAGTTAGAACTGCCTTGGTAATGGCAGTCTGTGTCAGTAATGGCGGACTGTCTCTGTAAGGGTGGATTGCCTTGGTAATGGCGGACTGCCTCAGTAATGGTGAATTGCCTTGGTATTGGCAGACTTCCTCAGTAATGTTGGACTACCTTAGTGATGGCGGACTGCCTTGGTAGTGGTGGACTGCCTCAGTAATGGCAGACATGCTTCCTCCCACAGAGCTGGATGTCCTGGCTCCAGCTGTGCTTGCTGTGAAACTCAGTCCAGAGTGTTTCAGATTGCTGGTCTTTGTGAGTGTGGGACCAGCTGAGCCAGATCACCTGGCTCCCTGTTTCAGCCCCGTTTTTTCCGTTGAACAAGCGACTCTGTCTCCCAGGCGTTCCAGTTGTCAGTTGAAATGGCTCCTGGATTTGTGTGAGTTTTTGTTAGGAGACCTGCTGCACCGGCTAAAACAGCTGCGTTGGAGACTCGTGTCACTTTTCCGCCCGGGAATCTCCTGGTCTGTTTTCAGTAAAAATTCATTTAGAAATGCAGTGATCACTCACCCTCTGTTTTTGCTGGGAACTGCACTCCAGAGCTGAGATCATGCAATACAGTGAGACTCTGTCTCAGAACAAAAAAAAGAAAAAAGCCTACTGGGATTCTGAGGAGAATTGATATCTTATTGTTGAGTCTTCTGATCCATGAACATGATGTATTGACTGTTTAGATCTTAATTTCAGCAGTATTTTGTAGTTTTAGCAGGCTTTACATAAAATGTATCATACTATATATATTGTGTGCTTGCCTGTTTTACTCACCATTATCTTTCTGAAATTCATCTTGATGCGTGCAGCAATAATCAATTCATTTTCACTGCTGTATACCATTCCATTGATGAACATGCTGTAATTTTTTCTTTTATTGATGAATATTCTAGATCTTTTTTCTATTTCAAATAATGCGTCTGTGGATATTCCTATACATATGAGCTTGTGCACATGAGTTACTTTTCTAGGGAATATATGTGCCTAGGAATAGGCTGCTGGGGGTAGGATGTACCACCTCAGGCTTCACTGGATATTGCTAGCTTGTTTTCCCATTTATAGTACTGCCAGTATTCTATAAAAGTTTCTGTAACTCCCAGTTGGAGCTGTTAGACTTCTTAAATTTTGCTAAATTGTTGGATGTGAAATAGTAACTCACTAAGGTTTTTAATATGTATTTTCTGTGTTGTAGAGGTTAATTATTTTATATGCTAATTTTTCCTTATGTGAAGCATATGTTTATCTCTTTTGCCATTTCCCTTTTATATTCTCTTTTTCTTAATGCTTTTTAGGAGTTTTAAAAAATATTTTGGATACTAGATATATCTTTTTAAAATTATATTTGTTTCAGTGGGTGCTGTGGCTTATGCCTTTAATCCCAGAACTTTGGGAGGCCAAGGCAGATGGATCACGTGAGGTCAGGAATTCAAGATCAGCCGGGTAACATGATGAAACCTCTTCTCTACTAAAAATATAAAAATCAGCCAGGCATGGTGGTGTCCGCCTATAGTCCCCTCTACTTGGGAGGCTGAGGCACGAGAACTGCTTGAATCTGGGAAGCAGAGGTTGTGGTGAGCTGAAATTGCACCGCTGCACTCCAGCCTGGGTGACAGAGCAAAACTCAGTCTCAAAAAATAATAAAAATAAAAGTAAAAGTAAATAAATAAAATAAAATGGTGAAACTCTGTCTCAAATAATAAAATAAGATAAAATAAAAATGAAGTGTTGCAAATATCTACTCCCAGTTCATGGTTGGTCTTTTTTTTTGTGGGGTTGCGGGGGAAACAGAGTCTTTCTCTGTCACCAGACTGGAGTGCAGTGGCACAATCTCTGCTCGCTGCAACCTCTGCATCCCGGGTTAAAGTGATTCCCCTGCCTCAGCCTCCCGAGTAGCTGAGACTACAGGTGTGCGCCACAATGCCCAGCTAACTTTTTATATTTTAGTAGAGATGGGGTTTCACCCTGTTGGCCAGGATGGTCTTGATCTCCTGACCTCGTGATCCGCCCTCCTCGGCCTCCCAAAGTGTTGCGATTACATGGGTGAACCACCGCACCCGGCCCCTTACGTTCTTTTTGATGTTTCTTGATGAACAGAAATTGTGAAGCACCTCTGGTATACTGAAGCATTTGCCCAATTTTAAAAGCATAGTTGACCCAGCTTGCCATTGATACCTCTGAGCCCCAAATCCCACAGACATCTTGGTAACAGGTCTATTTTATGATTTTTCCTTTATAAATACTCATAAATGACTCATTTGTCTTTTCTAGTCACAGTTTTGGGTATGGTGGTGGAGAGGAGGAGCACCATTTCTTTAAGGATTGAATAACAAGTTTCACAAGCATATTTTAAAACATTGTCTTAAATTAATTTTTAGGCTGGACCAGAATATGGCCAAGGGATGAACCCTATTAGCCGCCTGGCACAAATTCAACAGGCCAAAAAGGAAAAGGAGCCAGATTATGTTTTGCTTTCTGAAAGAGGAATGCCTCGACGTCGAGAATTTGTGATGCAGGTATTTCTAACCTTTTAAAACTATTGAAAAGATTTAGAAATCCCAGGATGGAAATGACATATGGGCAGACTAGGACTTAATAGCAGAAAGTAAAACTGTGTTTCCAGTTAAAGCATTCCTTCAGTCCAGGCTCACCTACTGACTTGGTGGAAACATTTGAGTGCCAAGGACATGTTACAATAAATAGATAACGTGAGTTTTCCAAGGGACTGTGAGTTCACACAGGTTATTTACCATGGAGTTTATCATATAATGCCTATCTCTTAACTTTTTGTGTTACATTTTGTAGCCAGAGTCTATTAACTACTGGGAATTGGAGACACATGGAATTAGAAACAAAATTTAGAAGGATGGATGTAGTAGATGGATCATGACCAAAAGCCTGAGCTTGTGGGCTGTCAGGAAAGTTAGAAAAAGACAGCAAGCTGGCTAGCTAACCATAGTGGGGGCTGAGGCATTCAGAATTGCTGAGATCTGACTGCTGCATTGTGTGGCCAAGAAAATTGAGGAACGGCTGCTAGTGTATTGACAGATGGGCTGGGAATGAGGTAGAATGTCTACAATGCTCTCCTTTTCAACTCCTACCTATTCATCTTCACTTGCCAGCTCAAACCCTAGTCTTAAGAAATTTTTCTTTTACTTTTTATTATAATTTCAAACATATCCATAGGTGGGGAGAGAATAGTAATGGACCATTAATATGCCTATCACCCAAACCAACAGTTATTAAGATTTTTGCCAAACTTGATTCAGCTATGAATTTTTCTCTCCTCCCTCACATTCTTCCTTTCTTTCTTCTTTTTCTGAAGTATTTAGAAGATAATTTCTAACCACATGCCATTTCAGCCTTACATATTCAGTGTATATTTCTAAGAAATATGAGAGCTTTTCTTACATTAGACTTGATTCATTAGAATCATCTAATACCCAGTCTGTATTTAAATTATTATTTTCCCCAAACTGTTTTTTAATTTTTTGTTTTATTTTATTTGTTGGTGTGGCAACAGGGTCTTTTCAGCCAGGCTGGAGTATAGTGGCATGATCATGGCTCACTGCAACCTTGATTTCCTGGGCTCAAGAAATCCTCCCTTTTTAGCCTCCTGAATAGCTTAGGACTATAAGGCATACACCACCATGACCAACTAATTAAATTTTGTTTTATTGCTGCTGTTTATAGAGACAGGGTGTTACTATGTAACCCAGGCTAGTCTTGAACTCCTGGCTTCAAGTGATCCTTCTGCTTCAACCTCTCAAAGTGTTAGGATTACAGGTGTGAGCCACCGTGTCTAGTCTCAAACTGTTTTTTAAATAATTGGTTAGTCAAAGAAACTTGTTAGTCAAATCCAAGGATCTCACATTTTATGTAATTTAGATAAAATCAACAGATATTAAGTGCTGACCATGTGGTAGACATTTTGGCACTCAAATACAGTATTGATTAACTTTCAATGTATAGCTAAGTTATGACTTCCCTCCCAATTTATAATTTCAGTGTTTCTTTATCTTACAGTACTCAAGACAGTAGTTTGTAAATAGTAGGACCTTAATAAACATTTGATAGATATTTCCTGCCTGCCTGCCTGCCTGTATGGCTTTTTTGAAGATGTAAACTTATAATGTAGTCATAGATAAGCCACTCCTGGGAACCCAGATATCCAAAATGAGGGGAATTCTCTGGTTAGTAAACACATTATTGTCAAGATGTTATTAGGATCCAGCACATGATTGTTTTATTATTTTTGCTGGTAAAATAAGTTCACTATTTTTCTCCTTAACATTCTTAGCTTTGAAGAATTCTGGAACATATACTTTGAATGACAAAACTTGAAGAAAAAAAATCACCTAAATTTTAGACATATATTGGGAATATAAACTGGCTTTGGCTTTATTAAACAAATCCTTTTCTACAGAGTATATTGAGTACCCCTTTTGAAAGAGGAATTTAGCGTATCTTAGGCTAGCTTCCATTTTATGGGTATTCATAAACATTCTAGTCAAATGGGGACATTTGGCTGTGCTTTTAAATGTTTTCGCACTGAATTCATATTGTTTTTTCCCCTTCTGGAAGCCCCAGTGGATTCATTACAGTATTGCAGCAATTTTATCAAAGTTAAAGGCTTTTGTATAAACTACTTAGGCAATGTTATCATTTGTTATAATTGAATGTAGAAGCAAAGTATCTAGAGATGAGATGTTCATTTTTATCTGTTACCAAAGAAAAAGTCTGTATATTATAAAATGGATGCAGTTACTTGTGTTGATTGCTAGATAAACAAAAGAAAATCTCTCATGACATTATTTGGGTATTTTATTCCAAAGCAGATTTCTTAAAGATTTTCATTTTTTTGGTGAGGAGTATTTTTAATCTTTCCAGCAGAAAATAATGATAACTAAACAAATTCCTTATCAGCACACTGTGTTATATGATACTTTTCAGCCTGTGATTAAGATCCCCAGGTTGTTAAGATATAAATAAAAATTAAATTTTTGGTAAATCCTATTTCAGAACTTTTCAGTGTCTTAGGTTTTTGAGGATTTGATTTATGTAAATGAGCTGTTTAAAGATAAACATTTGGCAGTCTTAAATTTACCGCATAGTAAAATAATTAAACTTCTTTATAGACAGAAATTAACATTTAAATATAGAGGCCTTATTTACAATAGTTATAAAATTTGTGACCTTTCAAGGAAGATGACTTGTGAAATTTATATACTTACTTAACTTTTATAATAAAGTGACATTTTGAGTGACCATTGTATTTATTAGCAGGGAATGAAAGTCCTTTGGCAATGTGGTCTTATTATATTAACAATTTACTTTGGGATAACTCCTTCAAACTACTGAACCATGCGATCATTAAAATTTGCATGAGGCGAGGGCTGAGTAAATGGGAAAATGAATCTGGAAAGCACTTGTTTTAGAAAAAGTAAGTCCTGAAGGTATCAGAATAAGCCAGATGGAAATCTAGCAGACAGAGAGACAAGGTGATTACAGGGATGGGAACAGCATTACAGCTGATAAGTCCAAGAGCAGGAGCCTGGAGCCGGAGGGCATCAGGCCTTGCTAGATAATTAAGATTTAGGGGTGAAGTAGCAGAAAAATTGAGAGTGAGTAAGATATGAAAGCATGTAAAAACAGATTTAAAATGGTTTTACAGTTATTTACTGCTCAGAGATCTTTGGCTTCTATTTACTTTGGCATGCCTTTTGACCTTCAGAGCAGTAGAGGAAGCTTCTGACATAACTGACCTAATCTTTTCACTAACAAGGATTCCAGCAACAACATATAGAGACTGATGAAGCTGGGGAAATGAACCAAGCATTGGAAAAAATAACAGGTAGCAGAGGTAGCTCTAGTCAGGGATTTGAGTAGATTATCCATAGGGCCTTCCGTGTTGAGGCAGACACTGATATGGCAGGTGGTATGCATTCGTCTAGCTCTAAGGACCTTGTCTGACTCTACTAGATTTGTCCTTCTCAAAGTGAGGTTCAAAGACTAATTCTGATTTGTCACAATGTGGTAATTTCCAGTTTTAGAAGAAAAGGCAATGAAATATTTCAAAAATATTTCACAGGTTTGAACTATACAACTTGTGATAGCTGTTACAGAAATTCTGTAATGACTAAATTTTCAGTGTTTCATGTGCTATATGAACTGTCATTTGGTTTGTCTTTACTGAAACTGTTAAAAGAGAGTGGAGTTCCTTTTTCATGTCATTTGCACATAGTTTATGTTTAAGTTTGTGTTTTGTTACCATTTTGTTGTATATTCTACCAGTTCCTTAAAATTGGGTGATTCACTGAAGCTTAAAAGTAGTAATGGAAATAATAACACAAACAAAACTCTAAATAAGGATGTGAGAATAAATGAGAAACAGTTCCCAAGTGTGGATACCAAATGAGAATCTGTGTGTTCTGGGACAGATGAAACAGCCAATGTTAGGACTTTACACAAGAGACAGAAAAGTATGGCTAGGTGTATCACTCTGTATAGCTGAAATCTGAATTTTGTTGTCATTGTGAAGTTTAGTAAAGTGGCATGAAGCTGTTATTGAAACTTTCTAATTTTTTTTTAAACAAAATGACATCTGGTAAAACAATTCAACTTTTCAGATATGGATTGCCCATTCACTTTTCTTGCTCATTTTTCTGGTCGCTTTTTTAAAAACCGATATATGGGAACCTCCAATATATTCTGGATGCAAGTCCTTTGCTGTTATATGGCATTTTAAATACCTTGCCTTGCATTGTGACTTTCCTTTTTAAATAGTACTTTTAGAAGAACAGGAGTAATTTTTAATGCAGTCAAATTTAAATTTTTCTTTATATTGACTTTATAATAAGTATAAATATCAGACAAGTGCCCCCCACCTTTTCTTCCTCAAAAGGATCTTGGTTATTCTTAGCACTTCACATTTCGATGTAAATTTTGGAATCATCTTGTTCAAGTCTTGTAAAAAGATGTATAGAATTTTCATTGAGTTTAATTAATTGAGTTTAGGTCAATTTGAAGAAAACTGGTATCATTACATTAGTATTGTCTTCAATCTGTGAGCATGGCATACCACTCAATTTATTAGGTTTTTCTTAAAGTTTCTCAACAAGGCTTTGTTTTCTATGTAGGTTTGCACCTAGGTATTTGATTTTCATTTAAGATAAATGGTATCCTTTAATATTTTTCATCTTCTACTTGAATGTTGATAGAACGTAGAAATGCAGTTCTCTTTTTCATACTGAGCTTGTTACAATCGAATCCTTATAATTCATCTGTGGAGTTTCTTAGATTCCTTATATATGAAATCATATCTATAAATAATGAGTTCTTTTCCCTTCTGATTCTTTTTAACTTTTTCTTGCCTTCTTTCTCTGTCTAGGATTTTCGTAAACTGTTAAACAGTAGAAATAATAGCAAACATCCTTGTTTTGTTTCTAATTTCAGTTTCATTCATTAAGTATAATGTTTCCTGAGGTTTGCTGTAGGTTTTTGTAAAATGACCTTTATCATATTAAGAAAGTTTTCTTCTTTTCCTAATTTGCAAATAGTTTTCATTATGAATTTCAAATATTAAGCCAACCTTGCATTCCTGCAGTAAACCCAACTTTGTCATGAATCTTTTTCTTTTTGTTGTTGTAGCAACACTTGTCTATTGAGTCTCTTCAGGAACTATTTAATACAAATCTTTGTAAACTTGAATGTTTATATAATGTTGCCATGTGAACAGTATTTTAAATAGCACCAATATGAACTTCAGCCTTTCAGTTTATTAATTGAAATGTAAGAATGCTAAAATGGAGTCATAATCAACATGAACTCTGTTAAATGTAAATTTTATTTTTCTGCTTATATGAATATAAATTCAGTGTTTAAAAATCAAATAACATAAATGTAAATGGAAATAAAAATCCTATAAAATTCTACCATCCTGAGATAAATCCTCCATCAATATTTTAAGGACAATTTTTTTCATATTTTTCTCTATGTACATATATAACATTATATAAATGTTATCTTAGTTGCCATTTTTTAGTCTGAGCTTTATATTTTCAAATGCTGGAGAGTAGAATTGCTTTATGATGTAAGGAGTTCCTGTTTACCAAAACAATTACCATTAATTTATTTCTTTAATCTTGTCAGGTGAAGGTAGGCAATGAAGTTGCTACAGGAACAGGACCTAATAAAAAGATAGCCAAAAAAAATGCTGCAGAAGCAATGCTATTACAGCTTGGTTATAAAGCATCCACTAATCTTCAGGATCAACTTGATAAGGTAAGAGTTACGTTTACATGTATGTATTCTATCTGTCATAATATCAAAGTGATTAATAAATTTTGATCTTAATTGATATTAAACTAGATGTCAGTTTTAACTTTTCTAAGGCAACGAAAGATAGATGATCCAAGCACAAAATAACATCTAGTTACAGAGTAAGATGAGATATTAATGAGGATTTATAATCTTATGATTAGAAAATACAGAAAGTTTGTTTTATGGCTGTACATATTTTATATAATACCAGTTTAACATTTTTAACTTGTTGACTTGTTGTTTTTGCCATACAGACACAGTCTTAATTTGTGCCTTTTAAGAACACAGGTTATTAGCCTTTTTTTGGGGAATACAGCTGAAAACACTGGAAATAAAAATTTTGACATCCCTTTAGGGCAGGAACTATATTGGACAGACACTCTATAAACTAATTTTTCTATTTACTTTAAATTTAAAGGTGAACTCATGGGGTGTTTATTTTTTGCCAAGACCTATGCTCATGGTCCCCTATTTTTTCTGCAGCAGTTAATGACATCATTAACACCTACATCTGTTACAAGGGAAGCAGAGAACCCTGAATTCAGAACTTGGCAGTTAACTTGGTAGAAACTGGCTTATTTTCATTTTATATTAAGTATCATTTTGTTATTTGTGGATGTGTAGACATTATTTCTATCAAACACTTTATTTATATGAACATTCACAAAACAGACTTACTAATTACTTTTATCAAAAGTAATATGCTTTAGACCAGGCCATTTTCTCATGTAAGAATTCCATTTCAGAGATATTTTTAGTTTCTACTGGAACACATTTTAGAATTTTAGAGTTAGAAACAAAATTATCTTGTAAAAACACTTAGATGTACTTTTTTGTTTTCTAGGCAATTCTTTTGAATGATTTTAAGACCTTTGTCTGTGTGGTTCTGTTTTTGTAACCTGGCTGGTCAACACTTTTTCTTCTTTTAAAAGTATTTGTAACATGAAACCTAACATGTGTTCCAGTTTCTGTAGTCCTTATATTGTATATATGTTGTTTTAACTTAGCACATTTATATTGACTTAAAACTGGTGAGTTATCTATAAAAACATGTCAAAATAAATCTCCTCACAGACACTTTTATTTGTAAATTAAGTGAAAGCAAACAGAACAAAAACCAGCATTAGTTAATTTCATTAATTTGAAAAACATTTTTTGCATACCCACTGTATAAGTGGGGGTTCTCCAAAACAGAACCATCAACGTGTGTGTGTTTGCGTGTGTATGTGTGTATGTGTATGTATGTGTATGTGTATCTGTATCTGTGTGACTGTGAATATACATTAAGGAATTGGCCCATGTGATTGTGGTGGCTTGGCTAGTGTAAAATCTGATGAGGGAAGCTGACAGGATAGAGACTCAGGAAAAAGTTGGGCATTTCATTCCAAAAAACAGTCTACTGGAGAATTCCCACTTGCTCAGGAAGGTCAGCATCTTGTTCTGTTTAGGACTTCAGCTGAGATGAGGACTACCCACCTTGTGGAGGGTGATCTGCTTTAGTCAGAGTTCACCACTTTAAATGTAAATCTCACTCCAAAACACTCTTGCAGAAACTCCCAGAATAATGTTTGACCAAGTATCTGGGCACTGTGACCCAGACAAATTGACATATAAAATTAATCATCAAACTCACTAAATGCCAGACACTTAAAATGACTGAAGATAATAAGATAACCAAAACTTGGTCTCTGCACTCAAGGAGCTGATCTTTAAGTGCAGGAGGGAGTGTGGAATTAACCATATAACAAAATATAGTATCCCAGCGCCTAGAGAGCATGAGGATGAACCTGGAAAGTTAGGAAAAAATGAGGTCACGGTTACCATGCAAAGTAGAAAGTTTGAAGAATCACTCATTTAAGATTTGAGCATGAATGTGAATTGATCTGGTTGGCATTCTTCAAAAGATAGTTCTGTTAAGTACTGTGGAGCATGGATTTGAGCAGAGCAAAACCAAAGGCAGGAAGGCCAGTCAGGAGGCAAGGGGAGTTGTTTAGGTAAGAGATATTGAGGGTCTGAACTGTGACAGTGAAGGCAGAGAGGAGGAAGGGAAAGACTCCGGAGATATTTTAGAAATATAATAGGTGAGATTTGAGTAGCAGAAAAGATGCATGAAAGGTATAGGAAAAAAGAGAGGAGGAAAGACTACCTGCAAAAAAGGAATAGAGAATGACTAAGTACTAGGAGGTAGTCAGATGCTGCAGAGAGATCAAATAAGAGAAGGACTGAATATATTGGTTTATCAATAAGAAGACTTGTTGAGTGTGGCAAAAGCAGTTTTTAAGACCAGCAAAACAGAATTTTTTTGTTTGTTTTCTTTTGAGAAAGAGTCTAATTCTGTCACTCAGGCTGGAGTGCAATGGCGTGATCTCGGCTCATTGCAACCTCCGCCTCCTGGGTTCAAGCAGTTCTCCCACCTCAGCCTCCCGAGTAGCTGGGATTACAGGTGTGCACAACCATGCCTGGCTGATTTTTTGTATTTTTAGTAAAGCTAGAGTTTCACCATATTAGCCAGGTTGGTCTTGCTCTCCTGACCTCAAATGATCCACCTGCCTTGGTCTCCCAAGGCGTGAGCTACCACACCTGGTCAATATTTCTTAATTATTTGGTAGAAGTTATCAGTGAAGGCTTTTGGGCTTAGAATTTTCTCTTTGGAAAGACTTTTTTAACTACAAACTTAGACTTTAAAAATAAGTAGGATTACTTAGGTTACCTGCTTCTGCTTGAATTGAACTTTGGTAGTTTGAGTCTTTAAAATAATTGGTTTATTTATCTAAGTTGCTGAATTTACTAGTATAAAATTGTTTCTAACATTCCCTTTTTCTTTTAATGGTGGCAGAATCTGTAAATAACATTCCCTTACTCTTCTAGTAGTGGCAGAATCTGTAATAATACTCACTTTCGTTTCTGATATTGATCATTTATTTCTTTTCTCTTTCTTCTGTTCAGTTTTGCTAGGGGTTTTATAGAATTTTGAGTCTTTTCAAACAATTAGGTTTTAGTTATGTTGATTTTTCTCTATTTTCAGTTTTTTGATTTCTGCTGTTTTATCCATTTTATCTTTCACTTGTTTTTGTTTTTAATTTTTTGTTCTTTTGTAATTTTGAAGCTTAGGGTATACATCTGAGCTTTCTTTTTTCTAATACAAGCATTTAATGCTGTGAATTTTTCTTTAAGCACTGATTTAGCTCTGTTCTACAAATTTTGACAAGATGAGTTTTTCTTCTCTTATTTTTTACATCTGGGACACATGCTATATGGATTTTTACTTTCATTCAATTTAAAATATGTTCTAATTTCCCTCTTGATTTCTTCTTTCAGGCTCTATATCTGTTACGATTTTCTGTCTACGTGGGCACAGCCCAAGTGTTAAAGTCAATTGTCTCCAACTATAAATTTGGATTTGTCTACCTCTTTCAGTTTTATTAGTTTTTGTTTTATGCATTTTGAAGTTTTGTTGTTATATACATATACAGTTAGTGGTGATGTGTCTTTTTGATGACTTCACCACCTTATTATTGCATATTTCTCTTTACTCCTTGTTCTGAAATCTGCTTTGTTTGATATTAATATAGCTACTCCAGTTTTATTTTGACTGGTGTTTGCATGGAATATTTTTTTTTCCTGTGTTTTACTTTTAGCCTATCTTTAAATTGGCTTCTTTTAGAAAGCATATAATTGGGTCTTCCTCTTTAAAATTTAATTTGACAAACTTTGCCCTTTAGTTAGGGTGATTAGACCATTTGCACTTACTGAAGTTATTGAGGCTCATCATTGTGTTAATTGCCTTTTTTTTTCACTTACTCTGTTTACTTTTTTTTCTCTTTGACGTCTAATGTGGTCACATATGTTATCTCTCTAACTTTCTCTGACCTCCTGTTGTGGTTATACATTTTACTTTTCTATATTTTTTAAACCCTACAATTCGTTGTTACTAATTTTGCTTTATATAGTCAGTTGTCTTTTTAAGTGATTAAAATTGGGGAAAATATATTTTATCTTTACTCTCATTTTTATTATTCTCAATATTCTTCATTTATTTGTGTAGATTCAAATTTCTTTCTGGTATCATGCCCCTCCATTGCTTGAAGGTCTTCCTTTAATATTACTTATTTTAGCAGATTTGTAGGATGTGCATTCTCTCAGCTTCTGTTTGCCAAACAAGTTTTTATTTCACCTTCATTTTTTTTTTCTTTATAGGTTTTGTTATGCATAAAGTGGGGTGGGGGTTCAGACCTTCTTGGCAGCTGCTTTCCTCATGGCAGTCAGGATACCGCTTCATCTCCTCTTTCTTCCTCTTGGTACAGATGTGTGTTTTCATCCTTTTCTAAAAGAACTTGAGGGCCTGCTTGTCCTTGGAGACGTTGAGCAGCTTCATAGTATGCCACTTCTCTGGGGTAAGCCACACACCTCCCAGATGATGTCTTACACACACTTTGTGTGCTTTTGTGAGGTATCCAGGGTGGCAGCCCTGCCTCAGCTTGCTCACATTCTTGTTCACGCTGGGCCCTGGTTGATACCCATGCCATGGGATAATGCAGAACTATGGCTGCTGCTCCTTAGTGACTACTGTAGCAGAAAATTTTACTTTTCTTTTCTTTCTTTCTGAGACGGAGTCTCACTCTGTCTCCCAGGCTGGAGTGCAGTGGCACAATCTTGGCTCACTGTAACCTCCGCCTCCTGCGTTCAGGCAATTCTCCTGCCTCAGCCTCCCAAGTAGCTAGGATTACAGGCACCCACCACTATGCCCAGCTAATTTTTTGTATTTTTAGTAGAGACAGGGTTTCATCATGTTGGCCAGGCTGGTCTCAAACTCCTGACCTTGTGATTCACCTGTCTTGGACTCCCAAAGTGCTGGGATTACAGGCATGAGACACTGTGGCTGGCCTCTTTTTCTTTTCTAAGCCTCCAATGAATTACCTTCATTTTTGGAAGTTATTTTTTTCTGGATATAGGTTTCTGGG